AAAATTTTCCTAGCCGGGTGGTGGTGGCACACGCCTTTAATCCCAGCACTCGGGAGGCAGAGGCAGGCGGATCTCTGTGAGTTCGAGGCCAGCCTGGTCTACAGAGCTAGTTCCGGGACAGGCACCAAAGCTACAGAGAAACCCTGTCTCGAAAATCCAAAAAAAAAAAATTTCCTGCCAGAGATGGTGGTACACGCGTTTAATCCTGAGTTTGCCAGGGAGAGGCAGAAGGATTTCTCTGAGTTCAAGGACAACTTGATCTACCTAGTGAGCTACAGGATAGTCAAGCTTTATACTTAGTGTGAGACCAAGAGGGACCTATAGTTCATGACCACTTGCTTTAATTTTTATCTAATTCTAGAATTACCTGAGATCTCAATATTGTTAGTGGCGGTAGGTGATATGCGCTCTGTACGAAGTGTATGTAGCAATGCTTTCTTAATTTCCCTGCTGAGTGCCACCAGGGAAAGGAATCTGCTGTGACATAGATAATGGATAACTGATAATGATGGAAAGTAAGCTTTACATTTATTAAGTAAAATGTATTTTCTGTAGCATGAATTCTAATTGTTCTTAATAATAAAAACCTGGAATCAGATATAGGGTTAATACTGATCAGAGCAGCAGAGTAGCCAACCACTAGAGTACTTACTTCTACCAATGCTCAGCCCGAACTAAAGGCGTGGGATCCCAAGTGCTGGGACCACCTTTGTGTGAGTTCTGTTTCTCTTTTAGACAGAGTCAATCTCAAGGCTGGGATCACTTTTGTGTGAACTCTGTCTCTTTTAGACAGAGTCAATCTCCTGTAGCTCAGTGTGGCCTTGAACTCACAGAGACCCCTCTTTCTCCTGGGCGCTGGGATTGAAGGTGTATGCCACCACTGCCTGGCCTCTATGGGTAACTGTTGGCATAGCTCTGAACTCTGATCTTCAGGCAAGCTCTGTCAGATCATAGGACAGAAGGGGAGTCAGATCTGGAACTGTAGTTACTGAAGGCTGAGCCACTGTGTGGGTGCTGAGAATTCAACCGAGGTCCTCTGGAAGAGAAGCCACTGCTCTTAACCACTGAGCCATTTCTCCATCCTCCAGACAGTAGTAGTTTTTTTTTTTTTTTTTTTGAAACAGGGTTTCTCTGTAGCTTTGGAGCTGGAACTAGCTCTTGTAGACCAGGTTGGCTTTGAACTCACAGAGATCTACCCATCTCTGCCTCCCAAGCGCTGGGATTAAAGGCATGCGCCACCTTGGATAGTCATTTTTTTAAAGATTATGTATACAATATTCCTCCTGCATGTACACCTCCATGCCTGAAGAGGGCACCAGATCTCATTACAGATGGTTATGAGCCATTATATGGTTGCTGGGAATTGAACTCAGGACCTCTGGAAGAGCAGGCAGTGTGCTTAACCTCTGAGCCACCTCTCCAGCCCTCAGTCATTTTTAAATGAACTAAAATTCAACTTTAATGAAGTCAGAACTGACATGATGATCTAACAAGAGTAACTGCATAAGCTAGTGGAAGTTATGCCAAACATCTCCATTTCTTTCAAGTCCCAGTGCAATAAAAAAAATATTTAATGTGCACTGGCATTTTGCCTGCATGTGTATATGTGTGAGTTGCCATGTGGGTGCTGGGAATTAAACCCACATCCTCTGAAAGAGCAATCAGTGCTCTTAACCACTGAGCCATCTCTCCAGCCCCTGCAATCTTTTTATTCATAATTCTGTGTACTTTTCCTAAACAGGAGTCCTCAAATTGTATAAACTAGGGGTTCATAAGTTAGGGCACTTGCTAGCTGTGCACTGTGTAGCTAAGTGGTGGAGGTGAGACATCTACATAGAACCACCTAGATCCTTCCTGGACATGGGGAAATTAAAATGGACAAAAACCTCCCAAGTTTAGTTTTTATTGAAGATGTGAGGAGTTATAATTTGAATTGTAATTTTAAGTCAAAGGGGGAAAATGTCAGGTTGTTTCTGTTAAGAGCTTACTGCACAAGTGTACACTGTATGTACATGCTAGGCCTAGACATGCAGTAGACTATACAGTACACTCTTCAGTGTTCATGTGACAACAATGACATTCTCTAATAATGATGCCTCAGAACTGATGAATTATTTTAGAACATCTATGGTGCCGTCACAAAACTACATATTTTTTTTTTTTTTTTTTTTGGTTTTTCGAGACAGGGTTTCTCTGTGGTTTTGGAGCCTGTCCTGGAACTAGCTCTTGTAGACCAGACTGGTCTCGAACTCACAGAGATCCAAAACTACATATTTTTATCACATTTTATTCCCAAAGAGCTATCACATTCTAGGTGGGTAAGGTACAAATTTGGGAATGATTGAAACAAAAATGCAAACGCATTTATTTTTCCTTCCCAAAACTGGCTTAGAGCTAGGCGGTGGTGGAGCACACCTTTAATCCCATCACTTGGTAGGCAGAGGCAGACAGATCTCCATGAGTATGAGGCTAGCCTGGTCTATAAGAGTAAGTTCCTAGAAACCCTGTCTCAAAAAAAAAAAAAAAAAAAAGAGCAAGTTCCAGGACAGCTAGGACTATTACACAGAGAAACCCTGTCCTGAAAAACAAACAAAAAAAAATTGGTTTATAAATCTTTTTTTCATCAGAATGTGTAATTGGTGTTAATATATATAAGTCTTGTTTGGTGCTTTGATAACACAGTTATTTTTTTAAAAGTTTAACCACAGAGGCAGGGGTTTGCAAGAGTTCCAGGTCAGCCAAGACTGGCTACATGGTGAGAACTTTCCTCAAAACAACCAAAATGGAGCTGGAGAAATGGCTCAGTGGTTAGGAGCACCAGCTGCTCTTTCAGAGGACTTGGGTTCCATCCCCAGCCCACGTGGTGGCTCACAACCATCTAACTCCATCCAGTCCCAGGGAGATGCAATGTCCTCTTTTGGCTTCGACACCATGTTTATACTGCAAAGACACACATGGAGACAACACCTATACACATCAAATACATTTAAAAAATAAACACACTAGATGTTCCATCTCTCATACTTTACCAAACATGGATGGTCTACCTCATACTAATGAAGACTACAAGATTAAAAAACCTTGCATGGCCACCCTCCATGCCCCAGACAGAGCATTCCCAGTGCAAGAGTGCACATCTAAAGTGAGTAAACTGTGTAATCTAATTATTCAGATGCCTAGTGCCTCCCACCGGTGCTCTTCACCCATCATAGCCATTATGTTTTGTTTTCTTTAAGCTTTGGAACCTGTCCTGGAACTAGCTCTTGTAGACCAGGCTGGCCTCGAACTCACAAGAGATCCGCCTGCCTCTGCCTCCCGAGTGCTGGGAATAAAGAAGTGTGCCATCCCTTGGCTGATATGTATTTACGTTTTAATGCTTGCTGCTTTCTTCGTAATTTGTAGAATATACATTTTAAAGAGTATTAAAATTTTGCCTAAAGTCTGGCGAGATGATCAGCAGTTGGAGCGCCTATTGTTCTGTTACAGACAGAACACTAGTTAGCCCCTAAGAGTTCTAGTCCCAACCAACATTTACATCAGGTGCCTCACAACCATCTGTAACTACAGTTCCAGAAGGTCGGGTGTGGTGGTGCACATCTTTAATCCCAACACTCAGGAGGCAGAGGCAGGAGGATCTCTGTGAGTGTGAGGTCAGCTTGATCTACATATCAAGCCAGGACTACATAAAGACCCTACTTCTAAACAAAACTAGTTCCAGGGAATTGGGCTTCTTTTCCGGCCTCTTCAGGCTTTGTACTTGTGTACACATAGACCACTCCCTGTAATTATTAAAAATAATAACCCTTTCAATTTCTTTCTTAACCTGTACCAATCTGTTTCAGGAGAGCACGGAATGGGGGTTGAACATCTCACCAATGCCCTTTTAGTGTGTGGGCAACCCAAGGAACTTCTGATGTTTTACAAACACACACTCCCTCCTGAGGTATTTCAGATGCTACTGTACAAAATTCCCCTTATCTGCCAGGTGAGCACGTACTTAATTATCCTGTGGAACATTATATAACCAGGTGAACTTGATTACAGAGAAATAAATGACTATGGTTGTGGACTCCTAGGTTCTCAAGTACTATCTAGTTCTGGTTCTACTTTCATTAAGGTAAGACTAGCTTATTTTCTGTGTTCTATTATAGAGAATTATGTACTTTATATGTGTTTCAACATTTCAATTTTAAAGCAGAATGGTACGTACTTGTCACTAACGTTGACAAAACAGAGAAATACCTTCGTAAACCTAACATACAGGGCTAACAGTGCGCTGCGATGTGACTTTAGATTGGTAGCAGATAAAGTCCATTTAGAAGCTCTTCCTTTTGCCAGTTTGGGTTAAAAAAAAAAAAAAAACAAAACAAAGTACTTAGACTTACTCGTTAGAATTTTCTGCAAATGTTGAATCTGCTTCAGAATTTATTAGCCATAAGATACAAATTCAACTCTGGTTCATTTTACTCAATTAGTCACATTAGCTGCATGTTATTATTTACACTCAAACCATTCATGTTGGAGTGTGTGTGTGCATGCACTCAGGCACCATGGCATATGGGTCAGGGCAGGAGCTAACTGGGTAGACAGTTCTCGCACCACGTGGTTTCCGCTGCTGGGACTCAGGCTGTTAGACTTGGTACCAATGCCTTTAGCTGCTGAGCTCTCACTAGCCTGGACTCTGTTTTTAAACAAACTGAAAGGCTATATTAGAGCATAACAGCCATAAACATTTCTGAGCTAGCCTCAAAAGGGATGTTGCCTAAGGATCTTTAAAGTGCAGCCAGGATAAAACGTGCACCATCTAATGTGACAAAAACAGCAAGGAAGAGTAGCCATGCCTTGGAATAACTAGCACGTAACTGTTTTGTGTATCTACCAGCAACTTGAAGCAGACATGTATGAACAGAAGTACTTAAAGGATTATCCTGACTGAAGCATCTCAACGCATCACAGCCCAGACAGAATAGTGTGTTCTGTACAGTAAAAACAACCGCTCTGTGATACTTTCATTTATTTTACTTCTGGTAATAAACTTTTTCTATCTCATACATGATTGGAAACGTTTTGCTTTTAAAATTAACAGTCACAAAGAAAGAAACTGGTTTATTTTTGTATCAAGGTGACCACGCAGCTGAGTCTTAAGGCTCAACAACACTGCATCATCTTACCATTTCACTCAACAGTAAGGCCTTCTGTTTTGATTCTTTCTGGTGAACAGTGATTTTGGTTTCTTCAGTGGTTTCCATTGGTCAGGTAGTCATGACAGATGGCTGACCACCACTCCTGCTGTGCTTCAGGGGATTCTCCCAGACGAATCCTCATTTCCAGTGCAATAGCTGCTGGCAATCTTTCAGTGCACATCTGTGCCTTGGCACTTTTCTACCGGGGCTGGCCCAGGAGTCCTGCTTTGGCTGCCAGGGCTTCATTCTGCTGAATATGATATTCCTGAAATCTCATGGATATTCTCTGTGTCATTTTTAAATATTTCTGTAAGCAATGTTCTGAACAGGTAACCTAGAAATACAAGGGGAAGGTCCAAAAGGCAACACAAAAATAAACATTCTTGTATTCTGAAGGAGCCACCACTGGGAACTTTGCTTTTCTTTAGGTAGATCTGCAAATTAAATGCTCTCATTGGCTTGCAATAATCATAGCTTTAAACTGTTTATGCTTTCATCCACTGGCTAGAATTAAAGTTTATGAATTCCCTATTAGTCTGCAGGCACAGAAGCAATGGTGTGCCCTGCCTTCATGAAAGGTCTGGATCAGATTTTCTATAAACTCAAGGTCCAAATGTATAAGCAGTAAAAAGTTTCTTCCGTGGTTAATGAGAAACTCGTTTCTGCATATTCTTAATTCAAAACCTTTACTTTTCTCTTGAGCAAGGTCTTGTTATGCAGCCAGGACTGGTCTGGATACCAGAATCTTCTGCCTCAGCCTCCCAAATGCTAGGGTTCCACGCATGCTTAACCTCACCCACCATCAAACCTTTTGTTTTTACTATCTCTGAAGTGACCCAGACTCAGAAAGAATTGAGTCTTCCAGGCTCTCCCTCACATGCAGACCCTAGAGTATAACCTATATGTGTATATATATGTAAATGGATATAAATGCAGGTAATACAAAGCTTCACAAGAGAAGGTAATGTTAGGTGATAAGAATGGATGGATAATCCATTTAGTGTTGCTTGTGAAAAAAAAAAAGAAAAAAAAAGAATGGATGGATTGTGGGCAAAAGGACACATCTCAGTCATGAATGAGGGTAATAAAGCTATTTCTTCCCCCAATTTTAACCTGTCAAAATTTTTATTCTTTTCATGGTAGATCTGAGTTCAAGTTTCTGGATATCCAGATAGCAAGAATCATTTTTGCCTGGGAAAGAATCTGGCATGTGCTGTTCCTGAGGCAGGGACTGAAAGTTGGGTTTGTTTTTCAGTGGGAACTTGACATGACTGGTCATTGACTAGATCTATCCCCTTTTGAAAAAGGGACTTTAAAAAAGTTTGTTATGGAGAGGGGCTTAACAATTAATTTTCACCCTTTTTTCCTGCTTAAAATTATATCAGAACATTCTACTTAGTGTTACTTAATATGTAAATTTTATTGCTATAAAGTATGGTTTTTAAAAACAAAAGTATCACATGATCAACTTCCATTGTCTACAAGTATAAAATTGGCAAGGAATAGCTAAAACATATTCCTTTAAAAAATGAATATCATAGTTGGTATCTCCTAAACTTTGTAAGTTAAATTATCTAACAAATTAGATTTTGGCATGAATGTTTACTGACTTCTCGACTGGAAGAAGTTTGTCACTCTCAGCAGATAAACATCTTTTAAGGACACTAAAAGCTGAGATGCTGATTAGACTGGGCTTCGGTGGTCCACACGTGAGCTATGTGCCACCACATTCACACTCCCTTTTTCTAAAGCCAGTCTAGATTCTCAGGGCCAGATCAGAGCCGTGCCAAGCTTCTCTAGAGCTGTCCTCTTGTATCACTAACTTGGTGCGTGGGTCATGACTGACTGGCTCCTCTAAGAACGGCCCGTGAATGGCAGCCTGGGGAAGTCTCAGTGAGCGACCTTTGCATACCTCCTCAGGTTTCACCTCTCTCGTGGTGAAGTCTTTGACACAGTCCAGAAAGCAGCTTTCCGTGAGTCTGTTGTAGGTTCCCAGGAACTCCTTAAACTGGAAACAAGACGTGTTTTAAGACCCAGCTTTCCCGCCAAGATGACTGGAGACTTCGGATACTCAGACAACTAGCCTGGCGCACCGTTTTTTCCACCCCTTCCCTCATCTGCAGTCTTCTGCTGACTTAAGCAGCTTTAATGCACAGTACAAGGTCTTCCTTTCTAGTTGTACTTGTCTCCTCACTGTTGTCCAACTCAGTTTCTACAGCCAGCTACAGAGGAGTGATGTCTGATATCCTGGCTACTTAGGGGCTGAGGATAAGGATCACCTGTGTCTAAAGGCCTAGAAGCCCAAAAGACAACATAACAGGATGCTTTTGCGGCCTCAAAAACAAAGCAGAAAATGCTTTGCCACCTAACATACATTTTAATGTTTTAAAATATGGTTTGAGGGAATGTATTCTTTGTTTTGAGTAAGAATTTAACTCATGATAATTCCACCCACAAGCATGTAGCTCAGGATGGCCCATCTCTACTGCCCTTGGAGATAGTATCTCTACAGAGCCCTGCTGTCCTAGAAGTCACCGTATAGACCAGGCTGTCTTTGAACTCTGAGAGATGAGCTTGCCTCTGCCTTCTGAGTGCTGGGATTAAAGGTGGGTAACACCACATCTAGCCAAGATCCTTTCCCCTTAATTATAGTATCTTACCTGTTTTATCTGGTCAGATTCTGGTATCTGTGCAGCCATATTCTTTCAGTTTATTATTCACCTGATTTCAAAGTTAAAAAAAAAACTTGTCAATTTATAAGTGTATTTTTAAGACACCCAAAGAGATAGCTGTTTATATTTTATAAATTTCTAATTGTATATAATCATAAACCATAATCTCACAGATTTTAATGACAGGTTATTTTTTAATGCCAGCTGTGGAACTCCCAGGCCCTGACTTAGTCAAATCTCCAACAGTAAGACAGTATCCTACTGTCTGGCAAAGCTACTTACTAAAGCCCCTTTCATAGCAGGGATTTAAGGAAAACCAAGGAAATTCTCAAATTCTTCCTAAATTTTCATAACTATCCTATTGGTTATCAATTCTGGTTACTAATCTATGTAATCTACCAATTGTTGACAAACACTATTTTTAACAAATGTTATTTATAGTTAAATCAACACTGGCTCATGAGAGATACTCAGAGTTCTCAAACAAAGTTAGAGGAGTTTTACATTCTTCTTTTTTTATTTTCTGAGACAGGGTTTCTCTATGTAGCCCTGGCTGTCCTGGAACTCACTCCATAGACTAGGCTTACCTTGAACTGACAGAGATCTGCCTGCCTCTATCTCCCCAGAGTTAGGATGGTGTAGAGTTCTGTTGTGTGTTGCTTTCATTGGTTAATGAATAAAGAAATTGCCTTGGCCTACTTGACAGGGCAGAACTTAGGTAGGCAGGGAGGCAGGGATAAAAAGGAATGCTGGGAGGAAGAAGGCAGAGTCAGGGAGACACCATGGATCATCTGCCTGAGACAGATGCCTGCCGGTAAACCACAGTCACATGGCGATACACAGATTAATAGAAATGGGTTAAATTAAGATGTAAGAATTAGCCAGCAAGAAACTAGAGCTAATGGGCCAAGCAGCATTTTAATGAATACAGTTTCTGTGTGGTTATTTTCGGGCTAAGCTAGCCGGGCAGCCGGGATGAACAAGCTGCCTCTCCCTACAATGCTGGCATTACAGACGTGAGCTACCATTGCCTGGCCTCAGAGTTATATATTATTATTATTATTATTATTATTATTTTGGTTTTTCGAGACAGGGTTTCTCTGTAGCTTTGGAGCCTGTCCTGGAACTCGCTCTGTAGACCAGGCTGGTCTCGAACTCACAGAGATCCGCCTGCCTCTGCCTCCCGAGTGCTGGGATTAAAGGCGTGTGCCACCATCGCCTGGCGAGTTATATATTCTTATATGGAGTTGACAGTAAATAGGACAGATACATGGAGTTGTGAGTTGCCATATGAGTGCTGGGAATTGAACTCAGGTCTCTCTAAGAGCAGCAAGTGTTCTTAGCCCCTGAACCGTCTCTTTAGCCCCAGAAGTCTCATTTTGATTAAATCATGTAACACATAATTCCACTCACAACCATGAGTGCACTACCCCACCCCCACTGAATTCCACTCATGACCATGAGTGTACCACCCCACCCCCACTGAATTTTTGATCCTTTTTTTCCTTCCTAAGATGTTAGTGATGACTGCTGACATTTTTTACAAAGCCATACTTAAGGGAAAGCATTAGGTCTTCTGCACTTGCTATTCTGGTCTTATTCTACACATTACAGCCCAGTTTTCTCTGAAGTAATGATTAATGAAACACATAACTGTGTTTACTTAAGAGGATGCTTTAATAGTAATGGGAAATATTATTCTTTTTATGTGTGCCAGGAACAACAGTACTGCAACTTCATGGGTGTTAAGTGCCACTGACCGGTCAAAGAAGCCAGCCTCTAGAAACACCATGCACTGTCTTCAGGGGACGGTGCAGATGTGCATTTCTTTATCCACTCTCTACACAGCTGGGAAGCTAGGCATCATATACAAAGGAAATCTAAGAAGAGGCAGCGAAGCTGGGCGGTGGTGGCGCACGCCTTTAATCCCAGCACTTGGGAGGCAGAGGCAGGCGGATCTCTGTGAGTTCGAGACCAGCCTGGTCTACAAGAGCTAGTTCCAGGACAGGCTCCAAAGCCACAGATAAACCCTGCCTCGAAATACAAAAAAAAAAAAAAAAGGAGAGGCAGCGAGCAAGCAGCAGATCAGCTAGGGGCCTTGGGATCTAAGAAACACAGGGATGAATCCTTTGTGTGCTTTCTGTTTTATAGACTTCAAACTGGAGAAGCTGGCAACCTCCAAATGTGACCAATAAAAAACAAGACGCCCTCAAAACCTAGTCTAATCAAAACAACAACAAAATCAGCAAAAGAAATGTATATACCTGTATATATATGTATATATACATACACACATACATATATAATATCTATCTGAACTACTGTACTAGCAAACACTATCGTTAAAAATGAAACGAGAAAACAACAAAAATTCCAATGGTCCACATCCCTGCCATCATATCATTAGCTTAAGCCAAATGGGAAGCTTAGACTTCAATGAGCTACTCTTGTACTAGGGTGGTGTCAAGAGAAGGCTAATAAAAGAACAGGATTTTATTCCCAATAGCAGGATAAGACAACAACACATCAGTGGAAAGCTTATAAGAGACTGCGGCATTATCACAAGGCTGAGGTTCAGGGTTGCACTCCTACCCTTCTCCCCATGGTGAATAGGAGAGGTCACACAGGGAGCAGTAATGAGGCGCGTTAGCTCCTCTCAGCCAGGGAGATACATAATGTCTGATAGGTCTCCTAATTTGGCCAAAGGCATAAACTTACAAATTCAAGCAGGAGTGAACCTTAAACAGCACAGACTCAATGAACTCCACATTAATATAAAATTATCGTCCTCCACTCCCCAGAAAAGTTTTTTTTCCCTTGTTGAGATATTTGTTTCCCCTTGAGACAAGGTTTCACTGTGTACCTTGGCTTGTCTCAAACCCATGTTCCTTCTGCCTTGGCTTCCTGAGTGCTGGGGATTATGGGATTCAACCCACATTCCCATTGGAAGACATACTTGTAAGCAAGCGGCTGAGTGTCATCCATGAGTAATCCCAGTATTTGGGAGGTGGAGTGGAGGCAGGAGGATCAGCTTTGTAAAATGTAAGATCAGGCCAGCCTGGACTTCTTCTCTTTTTTAAATATTTATTTAACTTTATTTTTATTTTTTGTGCATTTTGTATCACAAATGTGTCAGATTCCCTGGATCTGGAGTTACAGACAGGTGTGAGCTACCATGTGGGTGCTGGGAACTGAACCTGGGTCCTCTGGGAGAGCAGCCAGTGCTCTTAACTGCTGAGGCATCTCTCTAGCCCCTAGCCTAGGCTTCTTGAGACTCTATTTCAAAAGGCTGTAGACAAAGACATCTGCTAGGAGGTACAAGGAGAACATCACTAAGTGCAGTAAAGCAAGAAGGGGAAATACAACACATAAAGGCTGGAAGTGGGCACAGATCTAGTCCGGTCTGAGATGACACAAACTCTCATACAACCAATATGGGAGCCCAGCAAGGTTTTGGTGACACACAAAAGCCAAACTTACTTCTACACCTAGCAACAAGCACATGCACAATGCAATTTAATGCTATACTAATCACCATGATTCCCTTCCAGACATACTCAGAGGTCACCCTTCAAAACATGTACAACATTCAGATCTTGAAAACTATAGACAAACATCAGAACCCCAAAAATGGAGAGGCAGTGATTGGACAACAGTAGGATGAACTCAATACCATTTCTGTGGGGTTTTTGCTTAGTTTTGGAATAGTTTTGTTTTATTCATTTTTTGCCTCTTCGTTTTGATTTTCGTTTCTCTAGGGGCTTTTTTTGTTTCTCTCTTTCTCTTAGTTTGTTTTGTTTTTTCAAGAGAGGATTTCTCCTTGTAAGAGCTCTGGCTGTCCTGGAATTTAGAGATCCTCCTGCCCTTGCTCCTGGTATTAAAGCTGTGAGCCACCACAGCCCAGCTTGTTTCTCATTTTTTGAAAGAGAGAAGATAAAGTTGGATAGGTTAAGGAGGTAAAGAAGATTTGGGAGTAGTTGGGGGAGAGAAAATGGTCAAACTATATTATATGAAAACAATTTTTTTTTTTTTGAGACAGGGTTTCTCTGTATAGTTTTGGAGCCTGTCCTGGAACTCACTCAGTATACCAGGCTGGCTTTGAACTCACAGAGATCTGCCTGCTTCTGCCTCCTGAGTGCTGGGATTAAAGACATGTGCCACCACCACCTGGCCAAAAGTTTTTAATAAAAAAAAAAAAGGAGAGGCATTTTATGTTCATAGACTAAAAGACTCAATATAATAAGAATGTCAATTTCCCCAAAACTAATATACACAATGCAATTCTTACTAAGATCTCAGCAAGATTTCTTATATAGGTAAGATGATGTTAATGAAAAGGACTAGAGTAGCTAAATAAAGACTAAACTGGGAGGAATCAATTTACCTGATTTAAAAATAATCAATGGAAAGAAAAAAGTCAATTCTAAAAGATTAGATAAGGTATGATTTTATGAAATACTCTTTTTTTCTTTGTTTGGAGACAGTCTCACTATGCAGTGCTGACTGAATTGGAACTCGTTATCTAGAGCAGGCTGGTCTCAAGCTCAGAGATTCTCCTATTTCTGACCCTGAGTTCTGGGATTAAAGGTGTGCACCACCATGCCTGGCTGAAATAGTCTTGGAATGAGAGAATTACATGAATGCAGAGCATAATAGTAGTTGCAGTTGGCTATAGAAGGAAGAGAGGACTGAATAGGAGAGGGTGTTGCTACATGAGAGACCTATGACATAGAAATGTACTGTATTTTGACTATACTGGCATCTGTATCCTAGGCTAGACCCTACACTCTAGCTTTGCAAGATGTTACTCTTGTTTGTGCAAAGCTGGATAAAGGCATATGTGACTTCTAATGTCACAACTCTATGTGAGGCAGTAATACCCTCCGAATAAAGAGGCTAGAGAAATGCTCATAAGTCAAGAGTGCTTGCTCGCCCTCCAGATAAGCAGAGCTCAGGTCTCAACACCCATGCCATCAGACTGCTCACTGGGACCTGTAACTCCAGCCCCAGAGGATCTGGCACCCTCCTCTGGCTGCCAAGAGCACTTTCAACCGCCGGGCGGTGGTGGCGCACGCCTTTAATCCCAGCACTCGGGAGGCAGAGGCAGGTGGATCTCTGTGAGTCCGAGACCAGCCTGGTCTACAAGAGCTAGTTCCAGGACAGGCTCCAAAAAAAAAACCACAGAGAAACCCTGTCTCGAAAAACCAAAAAAAAAAAAAAAAAGAGCACTTTCAAACATGAGGCAGACATACACACTTTTTAAAGCTACATAAAGAAAGGAAAGTATCCTAAAGAGACCTAAGATTTGGTAATATAATTTGCATAGAATTAAGCAGTAAATAAAGCGACTGATGAGAACTTTAAAATTTGAGAATAAAACATGCTTGCTTTATCCAGAACACACTGCCAACTGTAAGGCTCAATATAAAGCAGACTCGACAGTTAAAGCTGAAAATGATACATCTGATTTCCTTAGAAACTTACATGATAACTAATAACCAAAATTTGGTTGTTTTCCCTATGTCTAACCTTGTGCTTCCACAGGTTGAAATTCTAGACTTTTTCAGCAACAAGTGAGAAGCATGATACAGCACATCTTTAAATGTTGTGTCAGAGACTGGTACACTGGGAGGTCTCAGTCCTCTCACGCTCCTCTGTCACTACTGGTGACAATTGGTCTCATGTCGCCCAGGCTGTTTTGTAGCCAAGGATGATTTTGCTAAGTGTCCAGCTAAGTGATTTTGTTAATGTCTCTTAGTATGTCTTTAGCAATCTCCTCCTTTGCCTGTGCCTGTGAGTGCAGGTGCCTTCAGAGGCTACAAGAGGATGTGAGACCCTTGGAGCTGAACGAAGTTACAGACACCTCTGGAAGTGCAGCAAGTGCGCTTAACTGTTGAGCCATCTCTCCAGTTCTGGTTATCCTTTTACATTTGATCCTCATTTCCAGAGATCACTTCTATTGGCTTGTTATTACAGAGGCAAACATTAAGACAGGGTGACTCTCTGGTTACCCCGTCATTTGGAGACAAGGGACAGCTTTCACTTAAGTCTGACAATAGCAACAGTGTTAGTTTTGTGATTAATCAACATCTCAGAGAAGTAGAGAACTTAAGAGTAAAGACTTTATCAGCCAACAAGCGCAAACCTTTTCTGATGCATGAGTTTCTTTTCTGCTCTGGAAAAGCAAGTGCCCCGCCTTTTGCTTGAATGTCTTCAGTGAGGCTGGATTTCTTACCTGAAAATTGAATGCAGTATTATATGACTGCGAAGGCTCTTCTTTTTAATGAAATCTGAATTTCGGTTGGCTAGCTAATTTTGTTTGTTTGGTATTGTTTATCGAGAAAAAGTCTATCAATGTAGACCAGGCTAGCCTTGTACTCAGAGACCTGTTTGCCTCTGCCTCCCTAGTGCAGAAAGCACCTTTACCTGCTCAATTGCTACATGGCTTAAAAATATTTTTAAGCTTGCCTTCATTTATCTCAGTACACAAACAGGAGGACAACTCTTGGAGCTGAGCTGGTTCTCTCCTTCCACTGTGTGAATGCTGAAATCAAAAGTGTGCACTGCACACCCTACAGTGAATTTATTTTAAAGCCTCCCCTTTTTTATTACTAAACTGAATAAAAGGATACATCAGGTTTTCCCTGGGCATAGGAGTCAAACCAGAGCAGTGTGCATGCTAGACAAGAGTTCCATCACCGGTTTATATCTGCAGGCCACTTTATCTTTTTACTAAGGGAAATTTATACAGTCTGAAGTTTATAGATTAGCTGTTTTAAAAAAGTCATGCTAACCTTAAACTTTTCTTCTGATTCTTCTGAAAACTCTAAGAAAGATAACAGTTCAAACAGTATATTTACAGGGGATCACTTTGAGATTGACAACACAGAACCACCTGAGTCATTCAGTCTGTAAAATTCAGGACTTCTCCCATTACATTTGCACACCTGTATGAAATGGCAAATAAACTACAATATTCTGCAAATAGCCCCGTGTTATAAGTTCTTTTGACTTTGGTTACATCGTCACATTTATTAAGTATCTATAATTAATATAATAATTAATCATAATTATATAATAACAACAACATCATGGTTGTGTTATGTTTTTTGAGACACAGTCTCATGAAACCTAAAATTTTCTATGTAGCACAGGCTGGACTTGAACTTGGGACAGTTACAAGTGCTGAGAGCACAGGTATGCACCACTATGCCCAGCTTGTTATTTATTTCTTCCCTAATACACCTTGTTTTTCCTAAATTAATTTTCTTCTCAGAGGCAGGTGGATCTCTGAGTTCAAGGCCAGCCTGGTTTACAGAGTGAGTACTAGGACAGCCAGGGCTACACAGAGAAACCATCCTGAAAAACAAAACAAACAAACAAATTAATTAATAAGAGCCCAATAGGGACATGATTACTCTACTTCTTATAGGCACCTCGTACAAACAGAAACTAAATCTTAATAATGCTTATATTTAATTAACGGCAAGTGATTCTTCTGCTGTTCTGGGCTGCTGTAATTGTTCCTAGTCCCTGACTAATGGACTGTGATGCACATCCCTGGGGTTCAGTTGAAGCTCATAAATGGACAAAACCAAGAAATATGCCAGGGAACAAGATATACCTCTATAATTATAAGAACCCTGAAATACTGAAGGATGAGAACAAGACTTCCTGGGGTTAGCCCAGGTTTGACATTCAATTTCAAATCAAGTCAGTTTACTGATTGCTGTTGCTCAGCGTTTTGAAATTTGAGGGGAAAGGTCTTTTTTTTTTCATATCCAAGCTTTACATTGATTATGGAAGTTAATTCATCTTGCAGATCTGACAATGTCATTCTGTCTTATACAATCGAGAACCAACATATTAAATCTAAGGGACAAGAGAAAATGTAACAGACAAAAACGATTAATCACAAAACTTATTAAGTAGCAACAACCACGAACAAAATAACAGGTTCTTCAAAGGTGAGACTAGAAGGCGGCTTTTTACTCTAGCCTCGTAGGAACGTACACAGCCGAAATACAAGAGATAAAATTTGTTTCTTACGTTGACATCTTACACTGTTTTGCTTCATCTATTTTAAATGCCTCTAGCAAGGCGCAATGGCTCTAACCTGAGCGTCCTCCAAAATGAGATTAGGAAAGGGTGCGAGCCCCTGTATTCTAGGCACGGTCAGAACCGAGGGAGTCTGGGATTCTCGGGACAGGGAGCCCTGTCTGACAGCTCAAGGTCATCGAGGCGAGAGCCCCGAGCCCTCCAGTCCCGGGGCCTCGGGTGACAAGGCCCCCCGGAGAGGTCCGGCCTCTCGCTGTGTCGCGCTGCCGGTTGCGCAGCCCCACGCCCCGCGTGCATGCGGCGGCCCCCTTCCCCGAGCGAAGCCCGCCGCCCCGCCGCCCGCCAACCCGGAGGGCACGGGGAAAACGTCCGTACTTAGCCACAGGCTCTCGCATCCGACACCGGTACCGGGCTAAGGAGCTGCGGTGCGGTCTGAGATCCGAGGGTCAGCGTAAGGAGGGCGCCGCTCCGCTGGGCAGCAGAGAACACGTGGGGGCGATGATGTCAGGGAGCGCTTAGACCCGCTGACGCAGATTCGCAGATTCGTTACACCTAGGAAGGTGTAGGAGGAAAAGCCAGTACCCCAAGTGAATTCTAAAATCACCAAAGAATTAACTGGTGTGACGATGTGTTAGACGGTGCTCCGTATTGTTCATTTCCTTTCCCACGGCAACCGAATCTGTCGAGTGTTTTAGGAAGCCCAATATACTTAAACCTAGGTCTCTAACGGTCTACCGTTACTACAGTGTAAATAACCCTAGATAAACAAAACGTGTTTATGAGCTGCTCGAGAGTTCTTCAGTCCTCGGGGAAGACCTGATATCGTATCCAAAAATAAACGCGATATGTTGCCTTTAAAATAAAAATAAAATCATATCTCTTTGGAGTCTTTTACGTTTGGGGAATTTGTTTCCACACGGGCACCTACAGCAGAGCACCAGACTGCTCCAGGGCGCTCACTTCCGGTGGGAGGGCGGGATCTCTGCACGCAGGCGTGCTAAGTCTCAAGGGCGGGTTTTGGGGGGCAGAGGGTGTTGACGCGCGGGCAACCGAATTTGATGTCACCTGAAAAGACAGGGCGGCGTGTTTGCGGGCCGCGGTGGGCTAAATCGAGCTGTCCGAAATCGCGTCCGGACTCGTAGGAAGAAAGCTACTCAGCTCGCACGAGGGTGATATTTCACAATCAGGATTTTATTTAACGTCCCCTGCGCGCTGTCTTGGCGCCCATCTCAAGCCCGCCTCCGCGTCTGTTTGGGTTTTCTGCAGCAGCCCAGGGTGTCGGGGAGGGCTGAGCTAGTACGGCTCCCATAGCGTCTTCTCGTCTCTTGGTACAGTTCCTTTCAGATTTATTCCCTTGGTGTATTAACATACTCGGCGAGATTAATAGGTAAATAAGACATTCCTGTCGTGTTTAGTCCTGGGTTGCACGTCAAAATTGAAATTTACAGCTTTGTGGAATCGTTATCTAGATTTTTTTTTTTTAAGTTCACAATCATTTTTGGAATTCCAATATTCCTCATCAAATCCACTTCCACCTTTCCTTTTCCTTTAAAGAGGCGAAACTGTATTTTCAAATCTGTGAACCCAGAAGAAAGTCCCTCTGTTACGAGATCCACGGGACTTGTTTTGTGACTAGCCATATGAAAAACTTTGAGTTTAGCCAGGAAAGGGGGAGAAGGGTTAAAATGCCAGCGAGGAGACTGCGAGAGGTGGTTTCCCCAAAGCAAGGGGCCACCTTAGCTGTGCTGGAAGATGAGCTTCCCCGTGTTCCTCCAGCATTGTCTGCAAATAAACGTCTTGCTCTTGGAATGAGGACTGGCTCAAATGGAACGTTAAATGGTACGTGATTCCAAGCGTTGCCGTTTTCCAACCAGTTTATGTTTCTGTAAACTGTTAGGCTTTGTTTTCATCTGTAGCTGGTGTTTACCTTCTCAAGTGTAAGATACAAATCTGGTTTGTACGGATGTTTGAAAAATAACTTGGTTACTGGAGGAATAGCCAGACAGTCTACAAAATGTATGTAGAATGAATGAAACTTGAATATTTCCTGTTGTACTTCTTTGTGGTGTGGACTCTGCATCCCGTTCTTGTTCACACCCATGATAGATACAGTGAGCGTGGATAACCTGTTTAACATTTACCGAATGTTCTAGCTTCCTTTCCGGCCGTGCTATGCGACCTGGCATAGGAGAAATGCATAACTCAGTCTTTGGTGACTTCTGTATTTACAGTTCAGCGGTGCTGTTTAGACCTGTGAGTTTAAGGATCATATTAATGAAGTGTGTGTGCAAGAACAGCAATATACTTGATGCTTTTTGGAGAGCCGCTATAGCCGCTTCTGTCAGGCCAGGTTTTTGTGTCTGTCTGGTGTTTTCATTTGTTTGTTTTGGAGATGGGGTTTTACTGTAGAGGCCTGACTGGCTTCGAACTCACTGTAGACCAGGCTGGTCTGGAACTCACAGAAATCCGCCTCCCAAATGGTGGGATTAAAGGCATGAAGTACCGTGGCTCGCTATATATGGGTTTGTTCTGGTGAATCACATATTTTTTTCTACGTTGAATAAATACCCTTTAGAATTTTCAGAAAAACATATTTTCAAGTGTGTGTGTGTGTGTGTGTGTGCGCGCGCGCGCGTGTGCGTGCATATGCACACACACAGGAGTTCATGTGCCCGTGGAGGCCAGAGTAGTTGGATCTACCTAGAGCTAGATTTATAGGCCGATAGTGGGCTATCGGGGTATGAAACTTTAGTCCTCTGCAAGAGCAGCAAATATTCTTTTCTGCTTTGCCGCCTCTCCAGCCCCGGAACAAATTGTCAAGAGAGGGTCTCATTGTGTAACTCTATAACCAGGCTAGCCTCAACACAGAAATTCACGTTAAAGTACTGCAATAAGAGGTGTTCAACCCCTCCTACAACATTTTAGATCTCACCTAGTTCATTGCTTTGACTGATCCTTATTTTCCTAAATATCAGCCATAACGTCTTTCATTGTAATGTATTTACATGTATTTTCTTTTACAGGGAAGTGTCTTCACATTTGTTTTTTAAATTACTACAGAGCTTTCAGTTCTTGTATCATGCCTGTCTGTACAGGTGCTGCAGGTCAGGTTGTGATTTAAAAGTCACTCAGACTGGACCTGTTGCCCCGTGCTAGAGCTCACATGAGAGATGGAGACCTCGGTCTCAGTGCGTGGTGAAAACAACAAAGCAACACTCACTGCTTTCTTTGTCTTCTTAGGCTCACTGGATTTAACTTCTGCCAGAAAACATTCCCAGCTTCTGTCAGGAAATCCCACTGTATCCAGTAAAAGTGTAAGTAAAGAGATGCTAAGTCATAGTAAAACTTTAGCACTATTAAATTCTTAAATTATGTTTTGTTAACAACATATTTTATTTAGGTACTTCATATGAAGAGATGTTTTGTTTTTCATTTGTTCATTTTATTTTTATCACATTTTTATCTGTTTATTTTGTGTAGATATAGGTACGTGGGCATGCATAGGTCATTTTTGTGTGTGGAGGTCAGAAAACAAATTTCAAGAGTTTATTCTCTCTTTTCATGTGAGTCCCAGTAATCAAATTTGAGTCGTTAGGCTTGGCAGCAAGCTCCTTCCTCCGTTGAGCCAGCTTTCCAGCTCAAGACATTTTTTTTTTGTTTTATTTATTTATTTATTTAATTTTGAGGCAGGATTTCACTCTACCTTTGGAGCCTGTCCTGGAACTAGCTCTTGTAGACCAGGCTGGCCTTGAACTCACAGAGATCCCACCTGCCTCTGCCTCCCAAGTGCTGGTGGGATTTAAAGGCCTGTGCCACCACTGCCACTGTCCAGCCTCCAGACATGCTTTTTGGACTGTATTTGAAGAGTAGAACGTTAAATATATCTATTGTGATGCTAGTCTTATTGGTGCTTAGAAAATTAACACCTGTCATCATTAATTACTTTTTTTTTAAAAGATTTATTTATTTATTATGTATACAACATTCTGCCTCGATGTATGCCCACACGCCAGAGGAGGGCGCCAGATCTCAGTACAGATGGTTGTGAGCCACCATGTGGTTGCTGGGAATTGAACTCAGGACCTCTGGAAGAACAGCCAGTGCTCTTAACCTCTGAGCCATCTCTCCAGCCCCTAATTACTTTTTTTTAAATTAAGTTTTTTTCCATTTTCATGTGTGTGTTCATATGTGTGTGTAGGGTCAAGGGTATGTGTACATGTTATGGCTTGAGGTTGCTGTCAGGAAGCATCCTCCTTTGTCCTTCCACCTTAGCTCATTGAGGCAGAGTCTCTCATCCCAGAGCTTGCTGACCACCTGCTCCTGGGGATCCTCGCCTCAGCCTTTGGTTCTGGGGATCCAGGCTCTGGTCTTCCTGCTCATGTTAGTAGTTAGTGCTCTAACTGCTGCGCCATGTCCCAGCCCTGTTTGTGTCCTTCCCATTTATGCCTTGGCAGAGAAAAGGAAGGTGGAGAGCATCATGGAATCGACCTAGTGCCTTAAGAGTTCGCGTCTCACTTGGCACCGACCAGTCTTAGAGATGCCTTCTAGGATTGCACCCATGAGCAGAAAGCTGTTGGACTGTAGATGGGACCTACTTAGCGGAGCTTCCTAAGACAGATAAGCTCAGTGCCTGAAAGCTGGGTTAGTCTGCAGTGTTGTACTGTTACACTCATCCTGGAGTCGGGTTATCACTCTGAGCCGAAGCAACTGAGATGTTCAGATGTGGATTTGAATCAGAATCCTGTGCCATTTCTGTTTGCTTATTTTTTTCATTCACTATTCTGATATCCCATTGCTTGGTCGTTGAGAAATCTCCGAGTGGCTTCAGACTTATGCATCCTGAAGTGTTGGAGTGGAGTGAACAGAACGTGCAGACCCGCCTCGCTTGATGGTGGTAGTCAGAGGGCTGCCACTGTGACTTTGTGAGTGATGGCTGTAAAGCTTATTTAGTCTTCTCTTTTCTGTTCTGCCCAAAGGACTTTCCTAAAGACGCTGTAGTTCCGAGGTTGCCTTTGAATAAAACAGAAGTGAACAGCACAGGAAAAGGTAAATTAATATAGTTGACTTTTACAACTGAATTAAAATATATTGACAGACTTTTGTTTTGTCGATTTTGAATGCGTAGTTCTGTGACATTAAGCACATCCATGCTGTTGTTCGACTGTCACCATCTCTCACCTCTGGAACTTTCTCCTCTCCCCAGCTGAGCTCTGTGTCCCTGAACTCCTTACATTTGCCTCTGAATTTGACCCCTCATGGGCCTCATAGAAGTAGCATCGTATAGTCTCTAACCTTTGTGTCTGGCTTACTTGAGTTTGCACAGTGTGTTTATGCTTATCCATATTGTAGTTTGTGTCAGCATTTTCTTTGTAAGGATAGAATTGGGTTTATTTTTTAAATTTAACCTAATGTATTTATTTTGTGTATTTGGGTCTTTTGCCTGCCTGTTTGTTTGTCTGTATACAATACTTATGCAGTGCCCAAAAGACCAAAAGAGGGGGTCAGAGTACCTGGGACTGAA